TTTTAAACTACCTGTATGGATGTGTGTGTCATTTTTATTTCAACTATACATCATTTTTTATAAAATTAAATTGGGATTAGAAAAGTATATATTAATTAAATTACTTATTTAAAAAATGGGATATAACTGTTCTATAAAAAATAGTAAAACATTTTTATAGCACTAAATGTGGATTGTTTGAGGATTACTTTTTTTTTGTTGTTGCAAACATTTTTATTATTGTTATTGTCAACATTCTCATTATATATACTGTTCTACATGGAACAGTGGAAGTTTAATTTTAATTTTTCTAAAAAAAAAAAAAAAAAAAAAAAAAAAGAAAAAAGAAGGAAAGATGTTTTTTTAAATTCTTTAAGCAAGCATGTCCCACCCCCAATACCACTCAAAAAGTGAAGGAATCATATCTCACTTTCTTGATGTTTATACATGTTTGAAAGGGCGTTAGGACATGCAAACGCAAGCCCCTGCAGGTATAGGGAAAAAGGTTTTCATGAATCTTTTCTTTGGGGTATTTATAGGACTCTAAAGGGCCAAGGATAAAAATTAAAAAAAAAAAAATTAATAAACAAACCATAAAAAAAGAAAACCTAGAAATTATAATGATGCCTGCTATTGTTATAAATGGTGTAAATTTGGACAAATTATTAGAGATATATTTTTATTACATTGAACTACTGTTGTAAACTTAGTATTAGCAATACTATTTATCTTTACAGTAGAATTGGTAGGGGGTGACCCTAATGGTCGTTTCTTGGAGTCAGGCTGTCTGAGAGTCATCTGTCCTTGGTCTGTATAACAATTTTGGTGCGAAATGGTGACTGCCGACAGCAGTGACAGAAGACACTTACACTCAGAAGGGTGGAATACTGACACAATTCAGATGCTATTAGTCTAGTAGCAGACGGAAAGAAATAAACACATAGCTTGCTACAGTAGTTACTGGTATGAATATACTACTAGAGTAAACTATACAATATATGTGTGTGTGTGTGTGTGTGTGTGTGTAGATTCAAACAAACTAGATCATAATATCCACACCCAGCATTTTTATATATTGCATGATGCATGTTTCAGACCACTCAACCATAGCAGCAAATATTAAAGAATGTGATTATACGAAGACAACTGCTATGATTTAGTTGCTGGTCCAAATCAGACCAAAAGCTAATTTAGTATTTTATTTACTTTCTGGCATATTACCCATAAAAAATGACAGGATTATTTAATTTTGGATCAAAACTTCTCCCTATGATCAAAGTATACACTTTGATGTATAACATACAAATATATAAATATATATATATTATTTTTGCTTAGCTTCATGAAGGAAGATTTAGTAGCTATCTACATCCATTGTAAGTTTAGCAAGACCCATATAGGAGAGGCATTGGCTGCAGGAGAGGACCTAACAGCCAACGGAAGACAGTTTTTCTTTTGATTTTTTTATGACATGATTCTTTGAAGGATGTCTAATAGCAGCTCAGATTGAAGAATCAGAGAGCCAAGTTCAAATTACAGTCAAGTTCATTAAATTCATTTACATGCTAATAGCCTTGAGAAAGGTATGAATCCATCCCTTCTTCCCCAGCTATGGGTCCTATAATCTTGGGTGACAAACACTGTAGGAGAAGGACAACTCTGAATTCAAAAACAAATGGAGGATTGATTTGTGTCCTTGTGGCATACTATGTGCACCAGTTCTCTGTATACAGCTCTTCCCCAAAAAGTGTGTTTGGTTCTGCACAAGCCTTCACCACTATAATCAAATGATATGTGTAGGTAGTCTGGCTGTTAGTTCTAAGAACTGAGTTGCTTGTCTGCCAGACATCAAAAACAACTGGTAAGATTATATATTTCAATTAGACAAAGCTCTCATCAGCACAGGAAGACAGACCATCTAAGGAAGAAAAACACCGTTTTCAAATCACTTCTATCTTACAGCCATATTCTCCAAACATGCAAAAAGATTATGGAAGTAAATCTAGACAAAAAATTAAGAGGGGAGCCCAAAAGTAACAACCTTTTGACAATTCCTGCAGCCAAGCCAAGCCAAGCCAAGCCAAGCCAAGCCAGCTGCAAATATAATGCCCCATATTCCTTTGGATCTTGTCAGTACTGTTGAGAGAGGGCCATGTATTCTAAGCAGCATGCTGCTTCCATATACAATTACCAAGGTCTCCGCCCTAGAGAGATCAATCCAGTTTCATCATTAGATTGAATTTTGATGATATAAAAAAGGTGCTACCATTATCTTGCAAGTACATATATATAGGACATCTAACGTAGACCTGTTTAACAAGTGTAATATTGAAGGAATCGAGACTTTTATCATACAGTCTCAGTTACGATGGACTCATCATGTCTTGAGAATGTCTGATGACACGATACCCAAGATCCTAATGTACAGCCAGTTAGATCAGGGCTACAGGAATGTAGAACGCCCATGGCTAAGATACAAAGACAAGCTGAAAAGCAACTTGTCAGCTGCCAATATACCTCATAACACCCTTGAGCACTTGGATCGGGTAGAATGAAGATCAACGTGTTTTAGCGGACACAGCTGTTCTCAATTGGCTCATCTGAATTGTCTTCCAGAAGCAAGAGCAAGATCTAAAAGGTCAGCCAATCTAACAGTGATCTCATCCCACAATACTTACTCTTGCTCCATATGTGGCCTCCTTTGTAAATCACTAGCGGGTCTTAAGTGCCACTTAAGATTATCGCACAAAATTTCATAACTGAATCAATTAAATTGTCAGATCCTCATACGTCGAAACTGACGGGAGAGTCCATTATCCATTATATATATATATATATATATATATATATATATATATATACACACACACATTTAAGGGAAGAAGTATGACAAAGTGGAAAAGGTTTTTCTGTTATGTATTTTCTCTTTTAGGACTTCATTGGATTAAATTTATGTTTACATTGATGCAACTACATATACAAACAAAGGAAATGGAAGCCTGGTGTAGTAATGGGTAACAGCTCAGATCGAGAAATCGGAGACTCATCCGTCTGGGTTGACATACTCGGCATCACTTGAAACAGACTATACCCATGAGGTAATTTTGGATTTCTTTGTTGTATAATATATATATATATATATATATATATATACACACACACACACACACACACACATGTAATGCGTGAAACCTTGTGTATCGTGTGACCCCCAAATTTTCATTGATAAAAATGATTTTATCATGTACTTCATGAATCAAGCAAGATTTTTTTTTTTACTTACAAATTCCACTTTCTATACCAATAACAATATACTGAAAATTTACCATACTTTAAAAATTCTAATTAAAAGTTAAAATTTTACAATCATTAGTAATCTTAGTACTAAAAACTTGAGATATTAATTTCCAAATATATCACAAAAAATTTCTTTTTTAATCCTTTCACCCCAAGCAAGGAAATAAAGCCACAAAAGAAAAACTGTTAGCATAGAACTTATGGTAACATATAGCTATTTCAACTGTAAAATGATGAGACCTAGCTGCCAATCTAGTACTGTGCTTAAATTCATAAATTAAGGTATCATAGAGAAAAATTAATCAGAACAGTTATCCTTAAAAGTAGTTATAGAAAAGGCACAGGGAAACTATATTACAGTGGTGGGAAAGGGACTGAAGCTGAGATGCCAGGTTATGATCAATAACATTACAGATTCTTCTTTGGGTTTTATCTAGAATCTCTAAATGCATAGCAGAAGCACCAAACCAAATAACAAATGAAGTTACAAAAACACTTAATGTTTTATCTTATATAACATACACAAAATAGTTTTAATTATTATCTAATATTTAATGCACAAAATCCTTTTGTACATTACTCTATCTGCCCTTTTCACTGTATGAGAAATATCTCCCTAGATATTTCAACACCAGGTGGCAGTGTTTTCATTATGATAATAACAAGCTGGTGAAAGTTCAATAATGGTGTTGGGTGTGTCCACTTAGAATGATTTGGATTGGTTAGTCCACCTAAACATGTGATTCACTAGTGACTGCTGTATTGCATTGCCCTACAACAATTTGCATCCATTCATGATATCCATGGAGCCCAGCAACTATCATCTATTCTGGCAAGATAATGCATCATGTCATCTAGACCTAAATTGCTAAAAATTGCTTTGAGAGTATTATGTAAACTTCTGACAAATTGTGTGGCCACCATATTAAACTGATATAAGATCAATGAAATATTTATAGGACATAGTGGAGCAGTCTTTTTGTATACAAGGTTCTACCCCTATATATATATCAGTGAGTTGTAACATGTCTCCAGAGGTTTTCTAACTAATTTTAGAATCAAGTTCCAATGAATTGTTTGGTTACCTTGCTCACCTGACACAAACGTTTATGGGATATGGTAGAAAGGTCTAATTGCATGCAAGATTCTGAACCTACAAATATCAAAGTGCTGCGGACAGCCATCAAGCAGTGTGGTTCAACATCTCTCTGACTGCTCTATAATCAATATCACCTCAGGTTCCTTACATCATACAAGACATGTATCCCATGACTTATGACACATCACTCTCTCTCTCTCTATATATATATATATATATATATATATATATATATATATATATATATATATATATATATATATATATATTGGGGAGAGTGCACTATATCAAAGAACATTTATTGATATGGACATCGAAATCAAAAGTCAATATCATTTTATACATCAAACAACCTTCAGACCATATAGATAAATAGATAGACAGATAATGAACAGACTTATGTTTTTACAATGATATTAAATCTGAACAAAGCCCAAGAGCCACTCTAGGCAGAGTGTTACAGAATAACAGTCAGAGTTTATAGGAAACATGTAGGGAAGATAACAGTTGATCTTATTCATAGATATGAATAGAGATGGATGCATAGATATATAGACAGGTATTAACAAAATGAGATAGATATGAAAAGATTATAGGGGATATGTAGGGAAGATAACAGTTGATCTTATTCATAAACATAGATATGAAGAAAATGAGGTTTGAAAAGCATGAGATAGATATGAAGAAAATGAGGTTTGAAAAGCATGAGATAGATATGAACAAAATGAGGTTTGAAAAGCATGAGATAGATATGAACAAAATGAGGTTTGAAAAGCATGAGATAGATATGAACAAAATGAGGTTTGAAAAGCATGAGATAGATATGAACAAAATGAGGTTTGAAAAGCATGAGATAGATATGAACAAAATGAAAAGCATGAGATAGATTGAAAAAATGATTTGAAATGAGATAGATATGAACAAAATGAGGTTTGAAAAGCATGAGATAGATATGAACAAAATGAGGTTTGAAAAGCATGAGATAGATATGAACAAAATGAGGTTTGAAAAGCATGAGATAGATATGAACAAAATGAGGTTTGAAAAGCATGAGATAGATATGAACAAAATGAGGTTTGAAAAAACATGGAGAAAATGAGGTTTGATATGAACAAAATGAGGTTTGAAAAATGAGGTTTGAAAAGCATGAGATAGATATGAACAAAATGAGGTTTGAAAAACATGAGATAGATATGAACAAAATGAGGTTTGAAAAGCATGAGATAGATATGAACAAAATGAGGTTTGAAAAACATGAGATAGATATGAACAAAATGAGGTTTGAAAAACATGAGATAGATATGGACAAAATGGGTTTGAAAATGAGGTTTGAAAAGCATGAGATAGATATGAACAAAATGAGGTTTGAAAAGCATGAGATAGATATGAACAAAATGAGGTTTGAAAAACATGAGAGATATAGATAAAATGGACAAAATGAGGGTTTGAAAAGCAAAATGAGATAGATATATGAACAAAATGAGGTTTTTGAAAAGCATGATAGATATGAAGAAAATGAGGTTTGAAAAGAATAGACAAAAAAATGAGGTTTGAAAAACATGAGATAGATATGAACTGAATGAGAACAACTATCTCATGCTTTTCAAATCTACCTATGAACAAAATTAGATAGTTATGAAAAGAATGGGATAGAAAGAAAAAGAGTTAGATATGAACAGAATGAGAAACATACATATTAAAATAATGACATATATAGATATAATAAGAATTAGAAATATAGATATGAAAAGAATGAGATAAATAGATATGAAATGCATCAGATATAAAACGAATGAGATAGAAAGATATGAATAGAATGAGATAGATATGAAAAGAATGAGATACATAGATACCAAAATAATCAGGTGGATAGATATGAAAAGAATGAGACAGATATTAAAATGAATGTGATAGACATGAAAGGAATACAATAGATAGATATGAAAAGTATGATATATATAGATATATATATATATATATATATCAGTCTTCCTTTATATATATCTAGTTGAAATATATTAACAGAATGAGATAGATATGAAAAGAATTAGATATATAAATACATATGAAAAGAATGTGAAACATATATATATATATATATATATATATATATATATATATATAAATGAATGAGAATATTATCCATAATTGCATGTACAAGAATGTCACTTTTGATAAAAGTTTAAAAAAATAACCATAAATACATAAAAATGCCTATATTGTTGAAAATTCTTTTTTCCACAATATAGCTATTTGTGCTGTTATAATGCTTATTACCTAAACAATAATACTGAATAATTTTAAACATTAAAGTATATTTAATTACACCTCCTTAAGAGCTGTTGCACTTTGTAAATAGATAGATTGATAGATATGAAAAGAATGAGAGATAGATAAACAGTTATGAAAACTAAAGAGAGAGAGAGAAATCAACAGTATATGACAGATAGGTAGATATCAAAGAGAGATATGAAAATAATGAAATATGAAAAGAATGTGATAGAGCAATAAATATGAAAAAAGGGCATGAAAAGAATGAGAGATAAATGTAAAAAGAATGAAAGTTATGCAAAAAATGAGATAGATATGAAAATAATGAAATATATATATATATATATATATATATATATATATATATAGATAGATAGATTGATAGATATGAAAAGAATGTGATAGAGAGATAAATAGAATGTAATAGATAAGTATGAAAATAATGAGATAGACATTAAAAGAATGTGATAGAATTCCAAAGAATTTAAGAGATACATATGAAAAGAATTAAATAGACTAATAGATATGAAAGGAATGTGATAGATAATGAAAAGAATGAGTTAGATATTAACAGAATGAGATGGATATAAAAAGAATCAGATAAGTAGATTGATAGATATGAACAAAATAAGAGAGACAGATATGAAAAGAATGACATAGTTATGTAAATAATGAGATAGATTGATAGGTATGAAAAGAATGTGATAGAAGGTAGAATGTTATAGATAAATATGAAAAGAATGAGAAATAACAGAATTAGATAGAAATGAAAAGGATGACAGTTATGCAAAGAATGAGATAGATTGATACATATGGATAGAATGTGATTGATAGATATGAAAAGAATGTGATAGATATAAAAAGAATGAGATATATCAATATGTACAGAATGAGATAGATATTTAAAGAATGAAATAGATATGAAAAGAATTAAATGGAGCAATTGATAGATATGAAAATAATGGTAGATAAATAGATGTGAAAAGAATGTGATTGATAGATATGAAAAGAATGTGATAAATATGAAAAAAATGAGACAGATAATGAAAGAATGAGATAGCTTCATAGCTAAATATAGATATCAAGAGAATGAGATAGGTAGGTAGATAGAAATAAGATATATAGATAGGTAAATATGAAAAGAATGAGATATAATAGATAGATATGAAAAGAATGAGACAGATATGAAAAGAATAATTAGTTTTTTTTTTTTTGTTTTTTTTTTACGAATTGGTCAAACCCAAACAAAAACATCATTTTCAATCATTATGAGTCTATCGATTGAATAGAATTTTATTATAAACAATTGTCTTGTAAATGGAATTTTTAAAGCATTCTGAATGTAAAAATAAAAAAAAAGTGTGCAACACATTAAGAAACATTACCTGCCAAAAAAATAAGGGAAGTTTTGTTGAAATTGGTTGAAAAATGTAGGAAATCCGATCCCATATATAAACGAACACACACACAGAAACAACCTGGGTTTTATAATAAGTATAACTCGATATGAGTTGTCCCCCTTTCATTCTGGCGACAGCGATCCCTCTTAATCGTGTTTTCAAATTGATTTCGTGCAAAAACAATTGTGTTTTTCCAATTTTTGGCACTGTCAGAACCACTGCAAGGTAATTTTACGTAGTCCTGTGAAGTTTTGTTGAAATCGGTTGAAAAATGTAGGAAATCCAATCCAATATATAAACACACACACACACACACACAACCTGGGTTTTATAATAAGTAAGATGTAAAGATTGAGATACATATGAAAAGAAGTAGACAGATATGAAAAGATTGAGATAGTGAGATTTGCAAAGAATAGACAGACATAAAAAGAATGAGATAAATATGATTAGAATGAGATACAGCGCTGATACTAGTGTCTTGCACCTCCTCCCCTAAAAACTTTGATATGGAGCCACCCTTTCTTCTACATGTTGATTTCAAAGTTTCCCAACCTGGCGGCCAAATCTTCTTGAAGGAAAAGGGGAGCACAACACACTTTTTAAATTACTGAAAATCAGGGAATTATCCAGGTTAAATGAAAATTCCAGTACATATTCATTCATGTTTTATGTTTATAATGAACAGGGATTTTTATTTTTTTTTTTTAAATCAGAGAAAATTCTTTTTGTATTAAAACCCAATATTTTCAGGACTACATTTTACTTGAAAAATTGTTTAAGACAAAAATTTTTACATTTCCATAAAGATTAATCACTGCTGCATCTCCACTGAAAAAAAGACAAAAAAAAAACAGTTTTACAAATATTCCAACACAACACATGAAAAACATCCCTAACAAACTGAATTTTCTTAGAAAAAAAAACAAAAAAAACAGTGCTAATGCATGACAGGACTTGTATTTACTGTTTTGCCAATCATATGACGAAGAAATCAGAGTCAATTAGGGGTTTTAGGGTTAGTGATAGGGTAGGGGTGGAACATTTCCGTAAATGTTTGACAAATGAGATAATCCACAATTTACATTTACATTGATATATGGATTAGCATCTCATACAAGCGTCTCTTTCACCTGGTCCTGTGACACATTTGCATCAAAAATCAAATCAAAAAATGTTTCCTCTAATTGGATGCATAGCTAAATAAATGCATAAATTGATTTAAAAGATTTGAAAGAAAATTACAATCTGCCTCCCAAACCACATTAGGCATTTGGGGTGGGGGGTGAAGCACTAGGGGTTGAGAGGTTTGGGGTAGTAAGCACCAGCCCTGTCAATTATTATAGTTGATGATTGACAATCTAACAACAATTTAACTTAGGTAGAACAAAAGTAAAAAATACAAAAAGCAAAAACATCACTGCTGAAACTAGCTCTTTTTTTCAACCTAATAGTCGGGGGAGGGGTTCTGCATAGTGCATGCTGCACCTTCCATGGAGATATATGATGTATATTATGAGTTGATGACTGGCAATATAACACCAATTTAAAAATATTTTTTAAAAAATGGCAAATGGCCATAAAACAGTGCTGGAAAATAATGGCAGAGGCAAAAATGCACCCCCTCATCATGGGTTTCAGTGGTAAGACACACTGGCCCTGGATAAATAGATAGATAGACATAAACAGAATGAGATAGATATGAACAGAATGACATAGATAGATAGATATAAAAGAAAAATGAGTTAGATATGAAAAGAATGAGATCGATATGAACAGAATGAGATCGATATGAAAAGAATGAGATCAATAGATATAAACAGAATGAGAGACACAAACAGAATTAGATAGACACAAACAGAATGAAATAGATAGATTGTAACACTCAAAAGAAAAGTTTGGGGAATTTAAATAGATTTGCCAATCTGTTCAACCATCAAATTATCCTGTGTTTCCTGTGTCTTGCTAGACATTTTACACGGCTCTTGTTATCACTCTACCAGAAAACAGATAACCTCATTTTCTATCAATTCTTTTCTTTTTGTGTGCCGCAAACTTTTGTATAGCATATTGTACAGTACATAAGGGACATAAATAATATTTGCTGTTGATTACCTTTGTAAAGATAGGTGTTAGGCTATATCAACTTCAACACTAGACAAAATTTATGAAGCACCCAATGAAAAACAAACTCATTATCAATGGCATGTAAGGTAATCATATTAACTGCTGCTCAACTAATTATAGGACATAGCTTAGTAGATAAGGCACTGATAAAACTCATCTGTTTTCTGTTCAAGTAATGTAGGACACTTATACTTAGAATCAGAAAGAGACAGTTGAAATATCTAGGACACTTAATGAGGAAAGAGAGCTTGGAGAATTTGACACTCACAGGAGATATTGAGACAGAGGAAAACAGTGACTAACCTACCTAATGGCTAAATGATTAGCAGAGCAGGTTATTAGGAATAAGAGCAAAAAGACAAATCTTACTAAGAGCTACTAAGAATAGGAAGTTGTGGAGAGCCTTGAACACATGTTTTGAAGGAACATGGCACATAGAAGAACAAGCTTGTGTGAATGGTTGGCAGAACCATGATTAGGGGAGATAGCAAAAAGACAATCCTTACTAAGGGCTCCAAAGGAAAGAAAGTTGTGGAGAGCTTTGAACATCCATGTCCCTTCAAGACATGGCACATGGAAGAAGAATGAACATGTAAATAGTTGGCAGAACAGGGATTAAGAGGGATAACAAAAAGACAAAGCATACTAAGAGCTACAAAGAACAGAAAGTTGTGGGGAGCCATGATCACCAAAGTCCTGAAGGAACATGGCACATAGAAGAACGAACTTGTGTGAACGGTTGGCAGAACGGGGATTAGAAAAG